TTACAGCATGGGTTTGGACGGGTGAAGATCCAAAGTCTACTAGCCTTTGGTGGACTTTAAGGTAAGAAAATATTTTGAAATGAAGCAGGACACAGCCTAAAATTGTGGGTAATTTTCGCAGTTTCTATCAGTCTTGCTCCGTCTTTCCTTAGCTTGATCATGTATATCCGGTCAATGTAGCACAACAAGAAACCTACCATCTGTTTGAGGTAGGACCTCATTTTTACTGTGAACTCTGAAACCGATCAAGCATGAATCAATGACCTGCTGTAGCAAGTCATAGAATGAGAATATTCTGGTTAAATTTAGACAGTCAAAGAAATCCACCAGACAAGCGAACATAAGGAGACTGTTCGTGCTGCGATGCTATAAGAAGATGATCAAAGGCTTTTGGCGGCTGAGTTCAATGGTAGACAGGGCTATAGATGCTCATATCTTTGAGCCAGCGATGAGCCCAGCTTCGTTCCACCTGACTCAGCTGCTAGCCAGCTGACGGAAGGCGTTGAGCATTTATTCTCAAAGGCGATTTCTTAACGAAACCTCTGGAACTTGAGACCTGTTCCAGAACTCTCCAGAGGGGCTTCTCAGCTATGAGCTCCCCTTGATCGCCATGCTGGTGAGCTCCCAGCTTTCAAGCCTCTGTAACGAACTTCCCCGACCCACAGCTCTCGCATTGCTGGAAACGGCAATTGTATGCATGCATTTGGCAGCGAACCTATCACGTGTAGTAATCAGCCGAACAGCGCCATGGACCCCACCACACCATACTTCCCTTGGAAAGGCAACGGGGCCTATGGCTGGATAGCGCCTGGCAAGCTCTCGGGGTGGGGTGGGAATCGCGCCTTTCAGGTCAACTTCCATCACATCAGACACCATCATCGAAGCATCTCGCAACCCCGACTGTCAGGCCAGCTCATTCTCGACATGTTACCTCGAGCCAGCTCTCAATTGAACGGCCTGCCGCACACATTTTATCTCAAGCACGAGAATGGCTGACCATACCTCTCCCAACGACACCTTCCCTAATTTCCAAGACCCAGGACCCACCCACGTTGATCCAGGCCTGCTCACCTTCGTCACACATCCCGATCCCATCATCAGCTTCGGCAATGACCTCCCTACGCAGCAAGCTGTACATGCCACAGATGGAGTGTCGGCTGCCGGGCCCAGCGGAAGGGCAACTTTCGATGCCACTCCTGCGGCCGCCATAGACGCCGATCCATTGGGCGACCGTCCAACAAAGGTGTTCAATCGTTTTACAGCCAGCTCCGTCAGAGTACTCAGAAATTGGATCGCCGCTCATGAGAAATATCCCTATGCGTCCCCGAAGGACCTTGAAATGCTCCAGGACAAAACCGGCCTCACCAAACTGCAGGTGACCAACTGGCTGAACACCCGGCGACGTTCCAACTCCGACCCTCTCAATCTTCTTCACCCGTCGTCTCACCCCGAAACGCCACACGGCGAAGGAGTGACCCATCGAGATTCCAGATTGCTCGAACGCCGGTCCCTCTTCGGACATATGAACATTCTACAGTGCTGGGAGATTCGAAGCTGGACACCAAGCCGCAAAGATGCCGAATATTTGGAGATCTATCGCGCCTCT